CATCTCTTAGATGAGTACTGGCAATCTCTTCATGAGCGAACCGTGGCAGGGACACGGTACCTTCCAAAATTTCCAATCTAGGTACAACTCGGAATATCAACAAGCAAGCCCCAAGAGTGCGTCGATGTGTGACAGGCCGTCGGAGTGCGTTGATGTGACAGACAGCCCCAAGAGATGTGATACTATGGACCGCCGGAAGGCTGGGCCGGTTTTGAAAGTTGAAGCGCACTGCCATCGGACGATCCTAGTCACTACCGTACAACAAGTCGTGGTAAGAACTAGGTCCTAGGAAAATCTAGGATTCAAATCCAGGCCGGCCGGGGAAGCAACTGCAGTGCGCTAAATAGAAAGGCTAATTGCAAAACCGGGCAATAAACTGACCAGTAGAGTGGCAGAGCGGCTAGGGGCCTAAGCACCGCACTCAAAGGAGATATGCATGGCAGTGCCGCAGTGAACCCAATCCTACTTCGTTGAAGTTCCTAGATGAGCGCGCCCCCGTTGTTGCTAGGTCAATGATCACCAGCACTGATTGCCACCTAACTTTAGCCAGTGACGGCATTCTACCGGCCACCCTTCGAATTTCTGCCAATTGAGTCACGGTAACGTTTTACCGGTGCGGTTCGAAGTCTCCTGGTCAACATCACCAGGTATTTGGACCGTCTCTCAATTAGGTTAGCCAGCACCCGGTCACTCGAGCCAGCAGGAGCCTAGCCGCGGCTGGCCGTGCCTTCAGCACCGGCCCGGATCTACGTTCCAGCCGGCTGGGTCCACACATAAAGACATAACACCGGTTCGTGTCATTGAACACTGGTCACGTTCAATAGTACACACATCAAAATTTCGGTCCATCGGTCCATTCACCAATCTTGCTCTGATATTCAAAGATTGCAATAGACAATTCGCTACTTGAATACAAGACTCATTTGCGGCGAGGACCCGGTACCCGCTCTAATCCACAGTGAAGCATCACATAATCGCGTAACTTTCCAAATATGACGCACCGTGCTTGGACGCTTGCCAAAACTCAAGAGCCGGACATATGTGTCAATAGGATTGCAACGGCTTTGCTGCAGAATTCTTAGGTTTGACACGAAATTCATATATTCTGCTTTGTTGCCAAGTCGGCGGTTTGAGATAACGCCACAACCGACTGGCCGTGTTAGAGAGTAGTTGGGTTTATAACTGGGTAAGTTGAATTCACGAGCTCTAGTTGAACGCCTTATGGTTCCTCAATACATGCTCTCGGACAGTTTGTGCTTGATCGAGGTTCTTGTTAGTCTATATTAACAAGACATTGATAACTTTACATATGTACCTCATGATTTAATGAAAGCTGCAAGCTCACAAGCCTCAGAGTAAAAATGTATGTTCTTATGCTGCGGGATCGCACATGTAGACGCGGTACAAGGACAAAGCAAAGTCTGCGATCAAGCCTGCTTGACATACAGTCTCGAGCTTATTTGATTTGTTCAACTGGGTCTATATTGCAAAGCGCGGGCCCCGTCAGCCCCGTTAGTGAAAAGAGTTAAAGCTCAAAGGCATACTCGGCCTTGTTGTGCATCACAAGCTCGTCGTTCACAAAGTAAAAGCTGTCGGACCGTGACTCGTACGGGCAGTCGACCATCTCTCGAACTGCGCAAACACAGCCCACAAGGTCACCCGTCACGCACAAGAAACCGCCTGTGATCGACCAGGTCAACAAGCTCTTATAGACATGCACACAATCCAAAAGAGACGTAGTAAAGCAAAAGGCAGGCACTTGCTAAGGGAGACTGTTACGCATCGGGGTGGACGCAAGCACGCGGAGTGGTGATGCTCACCCTGTGCTTCAGTCAGTTTGGGCATGTCGTAAATGGACTCCCACGAGTTGGTGCTATTCCTGCAGCGGCCAAGGGCGACACGTCAGCCGACTAGCTTCCGCTGATTGGCGAGCAAAGTGGTTCTTCGAGGTGGATTCAAAGTGCTTGCAACGCTGACAAACCGGATTCCGCATCCATGCCGACAGTGGCGTGCACCGTGGGCCGAGCAGTGGGAGTCCATTGCGGTTCCAATTCCTTGGAGCCACTCACGGTATGACAAAGCCAAAATTGAAGTCGTAGCTGCGAGTGAGCTTGTTCTTGAAGTAGTGCCGCTCAATCATGCGGAAGTTGCTCAGCGGCTCTGGCCCCACCCGGAATGTCAACCTGCAGTCCGTGCGACGGCAACGTGTCAGCCAGCGCACAAACGACAGTCCCCTGGTGCTGCTCGCCTAACTCCAAAGTTAAGATTGTGAAACGAGCAAGTACGCGCTCGTCACCAGACACCCTATTGCCAAGGACTGTGTAGCGGCGGTCCTGTGGGGGCAGGCGCTCACGCTGTTCTGACCGTCTTGAAGCGCAGGAAGGAGGCGGGGAAGGTGTACTGGATGGTGCGGAACTGTGCCTCCAGCTCGGGGTCGAGGTCGAGCGGGGCGCTGGGCATGGCCGGGCCGGTGGGGTCCTTGCGGATGGAGAACACGACCTCACCGCTGTCGCAGTCCTTCACCTCGAACTGCACGCGCAACAACAAGGACGCGGCCTCAGGGACGGGGCACGATGGCGCCGCTTTGGCAATGATCCGGACTGATTAAGACATCAGGCCTTCCGAACCCTTTTATGGGAAACACCTCTCAAGTTAGATTGGTTTTTTGACCCTTCGATTGCAAACCCCTCTCAAGATAGAATGGCTTTGTGAAAAAGCCCTTACAAGCCCGGGTGGGCGTTAATGCAGTGTCGTAGACTCGCTTTTCAAGTACAATTGGGCCTGAGTTGGAAGGGATCAATTATGATAATCAGATCAGCCATTGGCATGGGGAGTCCACCCGGTCTGAGCTTTTTGGTATGCCACTGAGGAGAACCAAGCTCTTGACTTACCTCTGTGAAATCGATGCCATATATGTTCGCTGACAGTGGGCACAGAAAACCTGTGCCAAAGGAGGAGTACCGAGATCAAAGAAAGCAAACATGGCGTATCACAGCGTTGTGATGATGAACAGCCTCGCAGCGGCGGAGCTGTCTGAGGAAGGTAGAAGTCTGGTCTTGCCACTAAAGTGTATAAACAGGATTGCCAGCTTGCAAAACTGAAGCTTTGTCACCTTGTAAATCTGAACACAACAACGGAGCTGGGAGCCCAGTAATCCTATCTGGTTCGTTTTCAACCGAGTTGGAGCTGCATGAGACATTGACCTGGATACAGATAACAATATGAGTGAACTGGTCACATGAATTGTGACCTGCATCATTCTGAACTTTAATGGTTGCTCGACACGGCCCTCAGGGAATCCACTCAAGGTCAAGTGAGGGTCAAGTGTTGAGCTGGCGCCAATCGAAGCAGCTTACCCTGCGCGCCGCTCACCTTTGGTTGGTTCCTTGAGCGCCAGCACCTGCTCGGGGGCCACGCAGTTGAGGGGCACCACCTTGGCTGCCGCCACCTTGGTCGCAGCCATGTCAGCTGTGCTGACCCAACACTTTCCCAATAGGTCCACCAGACCACCACGTTGCTACGGGCCAGGCAGGCCCAAGCCTCTGTCCTAGATTGTAGCGTACTGGCTAGAACTGCCCACCTGCCAGCAGCCTGGATACGGTGCCAACAAGAAAACTTCAATTTAAGGGAGACAAGGCCCTGTCACATGCGGCAGCAAGCTGCAGTGTCGCCCCAACGCGTCGACGGCCGCCGAGCTCTAAGTTCTGCTGGAGGGGGGCTGGAGGATCTTCTACAGAGCTTTTACACCTCCTACATAAACCTGGGCCACTACTGAATACCTTGAAGAGAAGGACTGTGCCTCAATGCAGGACTTCCTGAGCTCGAAGGCGCCCTTCAAGGTTTCCAATTGAATATAGGTGTGGCTGCTTGATAACCTATGTCGTGTACCGTCTTGCACGCCGGGCTCATCAGCTGGAGCACCGGGACTAGCATACGCCTCGGTTCAGAGCCCCGTCATGCTAGTTAGGGCAACCATTATCATGGCTGCCGAAACGTAGCATGGCTGCAGGGATGGGTTCGGGCGGGGGTTCCCAGCGTAGACAGAGAGAAGGGAACTCCTGGCAGCACCCACTAGGGAGCACATACACAGGCAATCTTCTCTCTAGTCTTCTGGGTGAAACACAGTTTCTTTAGACCTTCAATAGGGACGCAACGTCGGCATAGCTAGGGCCAGAAGGCCGCCGGGCTGCTCCAAGAAGGTCTTCCACATGCAGCAAGCAGATTGATGGTTGAGACCCAACGTCAGGCAAAGAGATCGCAAAGGTGGCCGAAATGACGACCCCTGGCATGAAGCCCTGGCGCCCTGTAACAAGCGCCTGATCTCTCTACCAAGTCAAGTTGAGTCTGTGTGGCTGCTTGATAACCGCTTCTTGACTGCCGGAGAGTTCTGGTCCGAACCCTGGCCAAACCTCAGCTCCGGCCTCTTGCGAATTTTCGCGGCCGCGTATGTGCGCTTGTCGAGCATCGCGCGATCATGGCGCGGGCGCGGCAGCACGCTTTAACTAGAGTCAGAGGCTCAGCTTGAATGTAGGTAGGCTAGCTGCGTCCAATGCTCTGTCAACTCCCAAGTAGGTGAACAGAAAGTAGGTAGCATCACCACCAAACTAGCGGCGCCATACACCTTACAGTTGCGCCATTGTGCTGGATAGGAGCTCATTTCGGTGTTGTGGGTTACGGCGGTGCAGCGAATGCACACTGATGGCTGCCCAAAGCTGTACCGCATGGCACAGCGCCCACAGCACTGCTCTCGATATCTCCTGTGCTCGTAAGCCTTTTGGAGAGGCCAGAACAGGAGGTGAATCTTTGAGCCACTCGCTGTCCTTGCGGGCTGGAGCTTCTGAGGGCCGGCAGCACGCTCAAGCAGGACCGGCCCGCAGGAGTGGTGCTGCCAGTCCGCACATCGTGTCCAGCAGCAAGTCATGCCTGCTCGCTACTGGTCAGCAATGCTGGGGGAAGCGGGCCCAGCCGGTTAGGCACAGGTGCGGTGGGCGCAGGAGAGTAACGTGCATGGCACTAGATGTTGGAGGAGTTTCTCCTGCCGCTCTGGCTGGGGCACTCTCAATTGCTGGATTTGGGGTCCTGAGAGCTGCGGTCTACTTTCGGATGCAGGTGAAGACGTGTTCCATTGCTGCAAATAAGCATCGTTGAGTAGCCATGTGCTGACAGTGCCTGACGGTCGTGTGTGCAATGCCGGCGGTGGATGCGGCTGTGCTTGCAAACAGTGCTGCAAGCACAACTTCTGTCTGTTGCAAGAGTTGGTGGTGAGTGGCCTGTTGCCTGGCAGGTTTTCCACGTCGGCTTGCCCCGCCAAGTGCTTCTAGTCAGGTTGACCTCGCGGAGAGGCCTAATCTCCATCCATTGTCCACTTAAGACCCCTGTGGTTGTCCTTCCCCACTCCTCCCCCCCCTCTGCTTGCCCCTGTGCTGCGCCTGACTTGGCAGTGCGCCTGTCCCCCCTGCAGTACATCACCGCTGCCATGGTGGCGCGCCACGTCCCGCGGGGGGGCGCACGCCTGGTGGACCTGAGCCCCAAGGATGCAGCTGGGCGCAACCTGTTCTACCTGCCTAAGGATGCCGTCCAGGTACCAAAGGCGCACTTACAGCTTTTTCCTGTGACATTTTTTGCTCAAGTTAGCAAAACTCGATTCTGCTCAAGGTCTCCAGACCTCTGATTCGTCCTCCTTCTTGATATAGTGACATTTTGCCACTCTGGTCATCATACAGTGGAACTCTGGAAGTGCCTGGAAGTTGATTGGGTCCTGCTATTTCCCAGTGCCCATGGCGTCCCTCCTTGCCCACAGGTGACCGTGTTTGACGGCGCAGACAAGGGGGCATACCTGCAGGAGCTAGGTGAGGGGCGGACCCCCCGTGCGGCTCGGGGCTCCTTTGCTGGCAATCAAGCCCACCGCAAAAACCGTGGCCGTCTCTCTTATTTGTGACAGCACTTGACATGCCTGCAAAGTGCCTCAGCTGACAAGGAGACCCCTCCGGGCCACTCCTGAATCTGAATCCCGTGCAAAACTGCAGCACAGATTCCGACAGTTCTGTCAATATTATTTCTGAGCAGCAATCGAAAGGCTCTGCCCCTGCTCTGGCCTGTCTGCCCATCAGTCTCACCTTAAAATCCAAGTAACCAGTGCTGCTGCTTGACCGCCCAGTCTCATGGCAGCTCTGGGCTCAATCCTGAGCCGTCCCGTGTCCCTCCTCCCCAGGCATTCGTGCTGGCGTCCCCGTGGACGTGCGCCCCGTGCCGGCTGCCCGCATGAACTTGCCCCCCGCCAGCGTGGACGCAGTGGTGTGCGTGTACGGCCTCAGCACAACCAGGGATGCAGCGGCGGTTCTGCGCGAGGCAGCCCGCGTGCTCAAGCCCGGCAAGGTCAGAAGCTGGGGCTGCTCCTGCCGGCTATCATTCTTACTTCGTCCTTACAGTTGTATTCAGTCGCTCGTGAATAGAATAACAAATATACCAATGTCAGCGTTAGAGAGTCCCGACTTGTTTCCCAAGAATGAATCCATCTTCATATCAATATCGGGACTAGCCACCTTTTCCCCTTTGCCGCCCCAGTAGTGGCGACCCTCCTCGTGGGAGCTGCATGCTGGCTGGCTTGGCCTCGCCCACCGCACCCTAAGCAGGGCAACCGCTCTGCTGCAGTCAGGCAAGCGCATGGTGTGACATTCAGTGAAGTGCAGGGTGCATGCCCGAATCCCGGTCTTTCTGTGGTCTGATCACCCCCGGAATTCATTTGCTTTTGCAGCCGTTCATCTTCGTCGAGAACGTTGCCTCCGCGAACGGTGTGGTGCGCGGCTTGCAGGCGGGCCTGGCCGCTGTCCACCGTGCCACGGGGTGGGGGGCAGCCCCCGACAAAGACTCGCTGCGAGACGTACAGGTGAGCCGCTACTGGGCTCACCTGTATGGCTTCCCCCACTGGGCCTGCCTTTGGCTCCCTGCAACTCCGGAAGCAGAATGCCACTGTTGGGCAGTACGGACGGACATTCTTGTAGAATCGCGCTTGGAATAACGGTGTAACCTTCAATCTGCAATCCGCAATGCAGATTGGCGCAAGAACCTCAGATATGAATCTTTTGATGTGCTATGGCCTTGATAGCCAGACTTTGAAATCTGGTTTGTCAGCGCCGCACCTCAGCGCCGTGCCTCCTCGTGCAGGCCATCAGCGAATTTGAGGACATCCAGGTCGAGCGGATATGGGACTGGCAAGACCCACATGTTGTAAGCCCTCTCCCTTTCTGTTTCTCACCATTTTCCTTAGCTTCCGACGGGCTAGAGCCGAGCTTGATTGTTCTGCGACTTACTGACACGCTTTGAATGACAGGCTGACGTTTGAGTTGCCCCTTACGATGCTGCATAGCCCTGGCGTTGGCCGGGCTCCGGTTAGGTGCTCTCTTCTGCATCAATGCTTCGTTTGCGTGCCGAGCAGGGGGTGGATCCTCTGCGGCCTCCCCCCACCGCTGATGCCCGCCGTGGCCCGCAGGTGGGCGTCGCCGTCAAGCGGGCAGCTCCCGTGTTGACGCAGCCGGCAGTCTCTCCGCTGGAGAAGAGGGTCGAGGCGCTGCCCAGCATGAGGCGGCGGAAGCGAGGATAGCAAGCACGGGGAACTCCATCCCCGTTCCACGTTGATTACTAGAGCAGCCGCTTAGGCAAGCTGCATGCGGGTTGAGATTCGAACGTTGTCAGGCTTCCCGGGAGACTTGTCAAATCCACGCGAGCGCGCTGTGCGTTTTGGCAATCATTTAATTGGTTGATCCGATCCAATTGCTCTCGATCTTCTCGTGCAATTCGACAGAAAAGCCAATCTTTTGCCGTGTCCTCTTGAGCGAGGGTCTCAACCAGAGTCTGTGACGGTCGTCGGGTGCTCAACGTTTCTCTCGAGCATGTTGGACGGCTAGGCGCAGTTTTCCCACCGGTTGGACGCAGGCTAAAGACGCGAGAGGAGCCAGAATGAGTTGTGGGCCCTGCCCATTGATGTGGCGCTTGTGCTCGCGGTTTAGACTTGTCTGGAGCCCCCGAAACTGGTTATCACAGCGCCAGGACGTTAATCACAATTGGCTATGCCAGACAAAGGGTCCATTGTTTCGGTTCTGTGGTTTGAGGACTATTTCGTTGTGACATTGGTTGGATATTTTGACAGCAACATGGAAATCGAATCATTAATACCGCACCCAAGAACCAAGTAGTTATTGGTCGTCGTCCTGGCATGAGTTAGTCCTGACGGTGCATGTGAGCCTGACAAATTTGTATTTTCGGTGATATTATTTCAGTTAGGGCGCTGGCACATCTGTGAAACAACCAACAAATTGGCACCATGAGCACACTGCGCAGCGATAATGATAAGTGGTGAATGCATGTCAAATGTCTTCATACATTACCTTGCGCTGATGCGGCCTAAGCTGCACCATGTGAGACGGAATATAGTGCGCGCCATGCGGGTTGTCGTGATGATCCCAATCATCGATCCCCGAGGAAGCCTATCATTGGCCCAGGTGGCGACGGTGGTCGATTCGGAAAGAGACATCATACCTGCCGAAGCTATAGTGATTGCGCACTAGCAGGCCACACCAATCTGCATGTCAGGCGGGCAGAATAGACGAACGTGGCTCGGAGCGACACCTAATTTACATGCACGTGAATTCTCGGTGCTGCTTGCAAAGCGTCGCTTAGTCACTGCATGCACTTGCTGCACATGGACCACTCGCAAGTTTTTGTTGGACAATGAAAATCACTACTCACGGGCATCCAATGGACAATGACAGGAGAGTGAACTGACAGTGATTATAAGGCGCACATCCAACCGGATCTCAGTTCGAGTTTTCACCACCTAAGATCCAAAAAGACCTAGCAACGATCGTTCAGCGTTAACCTCTCTCTCGTAAGGTGCCACTTACAGCTTTCGTGATGGGGCGTTGGACAAACAACTGACTGCCGAAGCGGTCCCAGCCTCGTCGAAGTAACTGGAAAAGCTTGTAACAGCCGTTTGACGGGTCAAGATGGTCTCCACAATCCAGATGCATTCACTGTCTCTGCTGCGGTCACCTTTGCTGTCTACCACGTGACCTCCTCCTCCTCAAGCAAGCCTGGTGCGTCTTCGCACCACTCCAGCAAATCTGCGGAACGGCTCTCAGATACTCTTCTCGTCGCTGGTGATCCACAACGCCCCGGCATTCGGCTCCCCTCCAAAGTCGTCGATGGCATATTGCAGCTGGTTTCCTGCTGCGCCGCTTGGCCTCTCTGCACCGACTCGGTTGCGATCGCACTCTTCTCGACTCGCGACGAAATCTGCGCAGACAAAGGAGCAAGATCAAATACCCTTTCACGCAGCTCCATCTGCAGATTCTCAACCTGATGGACAGGCCTCCCTGACCCCCACTGGAACCTTGCAATGTAGAGCTCCTAAAGAGGCCTTTTTTGAGTGCCAACAGAGATGGGTGATATAGTGCGTCGAAGAGCTTTTAGAGACTTAAGAACAACTCTTCTTCGAGAAGTGGATAGCAATGACACAGTAGACTGATCAAAGAAACAAGGGCCAACAGTTACCTCTAATAGCGGACTGCAGCAACGTTCTGTACTGACGCGGCAAATCAGCGCGCGTCTCCTTCCCAGCCAAGACTTACAGCTCCCAAATTCACACCTACTTCGTCGGCCGAGCACGAAGAGTAAGTGCGGTGCATCCAAAACCTCACGTAGGACCATTTTGATGCAATCGTGTCCTGCCACTTCACTTACTCACCTGTCGTTCTTTCATAGCGTCTTGGGAAGGGCCCCCGACTGGTGTGCCCCGCACCGGCAGGCCGGCTGCTGCTCCGCCGCCTCTCCCCCGCCCTTCGAGGGACGGGTTCTTGGTCATCGCCAGGAAGCCAGGCTGGGGGACCGCAGCTGTTGCGCGTGGAATCTGGGGGTTGCTTCTGAGTTTTGCAGGGGTCCCCGTCAGCGGAGGGCGCGTTACTCGCGGCGCTGGGAGTTTCAGTCGAGATGGGGGGGGTGCGCCTAGCGGGATGCTGGGCGGAGCAATTGTGGCCTGCTGGGTCTGGCTGGTCGGCCTGTCCTTGCTCGAAGCTGCAACCGTGTTTGTAGAAGCGCGCTCTTTGCTCTCATCCGTAGTTGTAGCTGCATCTGGGGGCTCCTCAGCGGGCACTGACCACCGAGGACCCACGTCGAGCACCGAGGTAAAGGGGCGATGGGGCGGAGGCGGTGTCCGGGAAGCGCTGGCGTCGACCGCGTGTCGAATGAGGCTGTCGTGGGGGCCCGTCTTGACGGCGCAGTCGGGGCTGGTGGCCAGGAATGTGGCGATGAGCGTCCTCGGGTCCACCACGGGGCTAGAGGTGTGAGCCTCAAAGTTGATCTGGAGAAGGAGCGCCACGATCAGCAGGTGCGTTCGTCAACGCTTGAAAGCACCGTACTGCCAACGAATCTGACATGGGTCAGACATGTACTACTTGCTGAGACTGGCACTCCGCAAGGTCCGTAAGAGAAATGGAGCACTCGATGAAAATTATCCGATTCTGTGACAGCGTTTCTCCAATGTTCCGAAGCACTGAATCCGGCGGTGTATTTTTCCCTAATGACAGAGCTAAGACATCATGGAGACTCGTGGATATATCTATCATGTTGTCTGCTTCTCGAAAAACCAGAGCTATGCAAGAGTTACGATAGGATCGTTGGGGAACACAAATCTTTAAGCAACAAAACGCTTGCGACGTGAAGAGTAAGTGGTTTAAGGAGTTGACCTTTCGTTTGCATCCAAGTTAAGCAATAACGCCAGGGTACAGACCCACTCTGGTAACAAGAGCTGACCGCTCCTACACGTACATCAGTACCTTCTCGTGATTGAAACAAGCGCAGGCCTGCTCATTATCCAATCAACATCAGATCGAGCACCTTATTCAGCTGGCATGCCACGTGTCGTGGTCCGGATCATTCGGGGACAATACTGGACTGCCCACTTACCTGTTTCATCTGCGGGTTGGACGCACGGGTGGCGGCGGGCTTGAGGGATGACGCGACGGTGCAGGCGAGACCACCGCCGACGTCAGCAATCTTAGTATCCCGATCGAAAAGCGTGCCCTTGTTGATTGGAGATGTAGAACGAAAGGCTGTGGAGGACAAGGAGAAACCTCAGAATCTGGCAAGAGGATTCTGTGTTTCAAGGCTGTGCTTGTTTACTCAAACGGCCTTTGGTAATATACACGCGGCCCTTTTTCTAGAACAATCTACGATCTGGGAGGGTGATGAACCAGAAATTGAGAAATCGACATTGAGGAATCAGAGTATGAAGTTGATTGAATCGAAAAGGTGAAGTGCTTGAAGGGACCGAGCAGCAAGCAGAAGGGTTCCTCTCTAACAAAGGGTGCCTTCTCGACCACAAAATAGATTGCGGGCAGTTTATAGCATCTTCAGAAACTCTGGCGATGGCCGTTCAGCCGTTTAACAGATTCAAATTGCAGTATCTGAGCTCACTTTCTGGATGACGTCCGCTTGGATGGGATTTGAAGAAGCCCTTTTTGCCAGCTCCCGGGAGACCTGATTGCAGCTCGATCTGGTCTGCAGGTCCTGCATCACCCGCGCAGTACACCAACCTTTCTTGAGCAAGAGACGCAAGTTTGCAGAACTTGAAACTGCCACGTGGCATTCCTTTGTGCAGATCCAAAAAGGCCTCTGGCGATTGGACACTTGAGAGCGCAGTCGTCGTATCCTTATGTCGTTGTTGAAGTATGGGCGTCTGAAGATCAGCTCACCCCATCTAACTCAGGCAACTCGGCGGTTGTTGCACCGCTCCTCAGGGAGCCCTTGGCCATCGCGACGTCGGCGGTATCGTTCTCAGCCAGGTCGTAGCCTGCACGGACGAGGAGTGGTGGAGCAAGGTGAGCAGGTTCCAGTGTGGGGGATTAGCAGGTTGCCAGGCAATGCGGAGGGCTGCTAAAGTGGCTCGAAATTTAGGTTCTTGCCCCCGCTACCTAGCTTTTCCTCCGAGAAACAAAGCGGCCATCCTTTCCCGAATATAAATTTCAAGAAGTCAACGCAGGTGTGGATGCATTGCTTGAAGCGGCGGGAGCGAGGCATGCCCGGAGGTGCGTGTCGACCACCGACCGAAAACTTGGTCTCAACCACTGACACCAAAGGATGGGCATCTGAAGCGACACGTCTAGTACCTGCGCTTCCAAGGTTGAACCCCTGGATCTTCCGCTGCTCGTTAGTGGAGCTCGTTCTTTGTTCAGTTACCCAGCGGCTTTTCTCCGGACGACCCTGCAACAGATTAACGCCACCAGGATAAGACTCGTGCCCTATCGGAATTTGCCCGCGTACGAGACCTTTCATGAGTAAAGTCCCTGTAGCTTATGAAGATGCCACGTATTAAACGTGAAAACTCAACGGGGGCATTTTCCGAACCCAAGAGATTCAGAATGAAGCGAAAGAGGGTCTCTCCAGGGCTGGCTAGGGGACCAAGTGGCATCAGCTGATCAATTCTCAACCTCTCGAACAACAAAGAGTGAAAAGGCTTCGTTGAAACGACTCGAGGTTCTCCTCACCTCAATGACGAGCTTGTCGAGGCGTTCGGTGGTAGACAGGGTGTAGACTTCACGCACACCCCGCTTGCCATGCTCTACGCCGTCGTTGGCGACCTGTATCCAACGTTGAGCAAATCTACTCATAGATAGCCTTTCGAAGCAAAAAGAGACCTTACAAGCGGTGGAAACGTGTCCCTTACTCCGGATGCGGAAGAGGATTGAAACCTTACCTTGAGGTCCGCTTCGAATGCAATAGAGAAGCCGGCCCAAAACTCACGGAAAAGGGCTCCCTGTCGACAGCGACCAACAAATCTGCAACCTGCTTTACCAGGAACCTTACTCTTTGGAGGAGTACTCCTACCTTGATGCATTCACTGGTATATTGACTCGTGCCGAAGGAAAACGGAACTTCTGAGAGGCAGACACTCCAAACCCCGTCCGTGTGCAGACGTTAAACCCATCCTCTTAATGTATCAAGATACCTTACGCACCTCAATTTCTCCGGCGCCGTCGGTTGGCCCGTCATGCTCTGCCAAGCTGGACAACCTCCCGCGCCCAATGCCGGAACGGTGTGGTAAGTCAGCGAGTCGTTGTGAAAGACTCTGCAAACAAGGGTGACAGGAAGTTAGGCTTCAATCACACCATATTTCGAGAAAATTTGTGACATAGAAGTACTCTTACTCGGTTTATAGAGTTTGCCGAGCGCAAAAGGCGAGCCAGTGAAGTATCACGCTGACAAAGATGGGGAAGATGAGGTTAGGCTTCTGCAAACAATTTTCCGCCTGTTTAACAAACGGAAAGATCGGCGAACTTGATGACCTTCTTGGATGACCACCCGCAACGGCTCGAGGCTTACTTGCAGAAGACGGCTTGAGGTCCAGGTGGGCGAGTCAGGGGAAGACGTCTGGTCGTGCGCAGGGTCCGTGGCCTCTCGCCTGGTGGTGGCCCAAACCTGCACGACCGCCGCAAGAAACATTAATCTGCAGGTACCCACAAGGTGCATCACTAGAGTGGAAAGACTTCCACTCTGAGGGTCGTCGATAGCAAGTATGCCCTTTCGCATACGCAGACCTTCAAAGCGATGCAGTTCAACACGTAAAGCAAAGGATGCACTTCAGCACTTGATTCACCCAGTACTTTAAAATCAACATCGCCGACACTAGCTAGTGTCCAGGTAGGAAACGCAAATGAGCATTGACCACACACGGGAAAGAAGCGGACTTTATAAACGAGCCTAAGAGTCGACAAAAGCAGCACACAAAGGCCTTGAGAAGAAAGGTTACGTTATACTATCCTGAGCGAAAGGTTGAGGCTTCATTGACAGGGGGCAAACTTACTGCGTCCTGGCTGTCTTGGGCGGCATTGCCCTTGATCGGAGAGTCATGCGGCAACTCGAAGCGCACTTCTTTCCCTATCCCTGTCCGCCTCCTCTTCTCAGCCGAGGTCGGAGGAAGAGTGGAAGTGCCGGCCCAGAATGGCCGCAGGCCCATTTCTTTCCTGCTTCGATGAAGAACCTTCTCGTGCAGACGCATGGGGCTTCCGGTAGACAACCCCGCCCCCGGCGCAAAGAGAGGATTGGTCTGCACAAAGGGCTGCTCCTGCTGGAATGACTGCTGAAGTCCCGGAATCTTGTATTGAGCATGCACCTTTTCTCTTTTCTCGTTGACTTGTATGGAGTCTTTGATGCGCCACGAGGGAGGGCTTGACGACTGGCTGCCGAGGTTGGGCGACCCCCCCTGCCTTTCGAACCGCCCCATCAGGATGTTGCAGTCCTGCTCCTCCAACGCTCGCTTCGCCGGAAGGAGGAGAGGCGGTGCTGCAGCCGGGCCTGCCCATGGGACGCCTTCGTCCTCGTATTCCTGAGGGGGTGCTGCTTGAGCGGCCCGCCCATTGGCCCTGGAAAGGAAATCCTTTGACTGACTATTGCTTTGCAGAAAGCTGATTTTGCAAGTTCGCAGCTGACGATGTCACTGGCAGTGCTCGGAACTGTATTGGGCTCTCCAGGTTCATTCTAGATTTCTTGATGTCGAGGGTTATCGAGCAATTCGACAGGTGTCCATAAGAAACTATCATCTGACAAGGTGCTTGCGCATGTCGGCATTTGAGACTCCATGGGCCACTGGTTGACTACCCATATGACGCTGAAGTAGGCAATATAGGGCCAGATGAAGATTTCTGTTACACCTTGGCTTTGCTTGATGCTATCTGATATACACTGCTCGGCAAATAGACAATCCTTTCAGTCAAATCCAACCTGGGTGGATCTTCTGTGCAAGATGTGCGCAAAATCAAATTTCCTCATCCCCTCAGGAAGACTTGTGAAAACTGAGAGGGCTTGTTACTGTGCATCGTCATCGGGCTGCATTGCGAAACACATTTTGGGGCTGGCCGAAAGGGGCATGCTGAGTCCATGGAGATTGTGATTCAACCTGAGAGAAAAGGCATTTGAAACAATCAGACGTCAGAAGACAGGAGAAGCAGGCTCTGCCTTGTACAAGTATGGCATACGGGACAGCTGGCAATCACCTCAGGAGGGCCTCTTTGAACATCACACTCTTGAAAAGCAGATGACGTTGATTCTCATCAAAATCTTGCAATGGAATGGATTGGAAACCTACGTCTGAATTGAGCACCCATCAAAATGGGAACCGGCATAGTGCACGGTTTTTTTCGTCCGTTGTCTTGCACGCTTCATACGAGCCTGCAAGAGGTAACACAGTACAATCACAAACCTTGGCATCAAGGGCATGTCCTTGACTTGTACCAGGACTGTCACGGCGTATCTTTGTGGCTCGCAACAGTATTTTGTAAGAGGTGTATCCATTCCTGCTGTTGGGGCCACGTTACAGGCCTAAGTTCTTTCTGGCCCCGAGTTGCGTGTAAGGTAGTGCTAAGAGTTTCAAGTTCCATAGGTTCTTTTGGAACACCTATTCCCAACCAAGAGGAACACTTTGGTAATCCACAAGAACGAACTTTGGGACTTCTTATGACAATCAAACAATATTGGATGCTCATGGATTGTGCAATGTCAGCAAACTATCGATCTGCACGCCTGCACCTTGGTTAGGCAATGCAGAAAAGAGTGGGTACAGAGAGCTTTCACCAACTACGAGAGTGAGTTTTGGATCCACATGGAACACACAACAGCTCAATGCTAAAGTAGAGAAATCTTAACCGAGTCTTTCCATGTTCAGGATGACCAGTATTGCAGGTGTTTGGACCAGAACCGCAGAAAAGAAGATATGATCAATGCAAGTCTATCCAGATTATTGCCTGCCTTGGTCTTCATGCTTACATGATCTTTCTCATCCTCCATCTCAAAAAGTAGTCGCTGTACTACTAGAACTTCCTCTTCTGGTGCTGGTGGATTCTGCTGCAGAACCTTCTCGAGGGTTCTCTTCGCAAACTGTTTGGCAAACCCCCCTGTAAATGCATGCAGCCCGTGCTGCTCCAGGTGTGTGTCAAGAGAACTTAGCCGCCAGCGTCCTTTCCTGCTAACAGCCTCGCGTACATAGTCTTCAACAACTGCGACAGCAGTCTTTATGCTCTTCAGTGGACTTTCGTCCATCTCTTTAGTCCAGTGCGCGCGGGTCGAAAAGTCTGGCCCCGTCCAGAGGCTCCACTCATATCATCGGCCCCTCAGCCCTTGCATACTTACTGTGGAGCAGCTTGCTTCACATACAAGATCAAGACCTCCAATCTTAACACAATGCTGACACAATGCTCCTTTCCAAACGTTTTCAAGCCGTGCTAGCCCCGCTCATGATTTCGGGGCGCCATTGATTGATTTATCCACAAGGTCATACCGGGAAGCCTTGCCCCAAAATGCGCTGTATCGACATAGCTAACATTTTGAAGCTGGTTAGTTGCCGTTGCATGGCACTGGCCAGGCTTGGCGCCGTCCCATACTGTGTACCTAAGGCTAGCGCGTCCCTCACCGCCCTGGTTCTGTAAGCTTAACAGTGGTTATCTATGCCTAACCCAGTTTCTTCTAGTCTATCGCCAAGCTTGGCCAGCAGTTACTGAGTTAACCGCGGACTGTTCAGTCTGTGCGGGGCCCAGTTTGCTGCCTGGGTATCGTCGGCGTGCATGAAGATGCAATGTGCCCGTTTCTGCACATTCTTGCCCATGTGGATCCTGGACGGCCTGGATGATCGAGGAGGGCAAACGGAAGTACCGGATTGCACTATCGCCGTAAAAACATGGGGGAGTGCCCAAGCACACGCAGGTAACGTTACTATTCCCAAGCAGGTACGTACCGGCCGCATGCTGAACGCAAGCACTAGTGCTGCTCTCTGCTCACGATTGCCTTTGAACAAACGTGCTCAGGAACCAAGAGGCTCTTTACTACCTACTTTGGTAAGCTTAGAAGCTGATGAGGCGGCGTCTGGGCGTTCAACAAGGATTCAAAATTGTCGTGATCAACTGAGCTCTCAAAGCCGGAGGGTTGGTACGCTGTTAACCGGAGTGTTTTGCACAAGATTGCATACACTTCAAGAGCGTTTTCATCCTTAAAGGATGATACGTTGTGTCGAGCATTTCCTCTCGGTATGCTTGACTGAGCGTTTCCAACCCTTCTTTGAGCCTTTTCAATGTGCTGCCCAGTTTCTGAATAGAGCTCATTGTTGTAAAATACTAGCTTGCGCAAGCGCAAGCGACCTTGCACTGAGCTTGCACTTAAGAAGTTTATTTGAAAATCGGCTCAACAAGAGGTTCGGTTTCGAAAGTACAACTCTGCGCAATCATTTACCTCAAGTTGCAAGAGATTCTTGATCACCAAAGCAGAGTTGGTACGCTGTTCGGAGTGTTTTGCATAAATGTGCATACACTTCATGAGCGTTTTCGTTCCTTCAAGGGATGATACGCTGTGTCGAGCATTTCCTCTTGGTATGCTTGACTGAGCGTTTCCAGCCCTGCTTTGAGCTTTCAAAAGTTGGTCAGTCTATTTAGAGAAGCTCAGTCTTTGCTGAGCACGCTCTCGTTGCTTGGCTGCAAGGCTTAATCAAACTTCTGAACAAAATCCAATTTGTAGCAGAGCTGATACGCACCTGGTACGTTAGTAGTCGGAGTGGTTTTCTCAACTTCATTCATACTTCTTGAGCGTTTTCATCCTTGAAGGATGATACACTTTGTCTAGCATTTCCTCTCGTATGCTTGACTGAGCCTCAAATGATCCAATTCCGTTTGCCAGCCTTCTTGAGCTTCTCAGCGTTTGAGCGTTTCAGGAATTCGAAGTGTTATCGACTTTTGTTGACAAGCCTAACTCTTGCTGAACAAACAATTTGCAGCATTTGACAGTGGCATGAGCAGAAAAAATCTCAGAGGTTCAAGTCTGCAATACATTGCACGTCAAGTTGGGCCACCGCCTGGTATAGTACCAGTCTGAGGTCTAATCATTGTCAGAATTGAGATTCTGAACAAAACATTGACCAAGGCTTCGGGTTAAAGGGCTCAGGGAAGCTGACTCACAAGAAGCTTTGCATAACACGGCAGGTTGCAAGGAAACATGCTTTTTCATCGAGTGTCGAAGCAAAGATTGGAGAGCTTCTGGATGTGCTGAACAAATGTGCATTTGCCTGAACATGAGCAATTTCAAGTACATCCAAGTACGTCAAAGAGAATGGCACATATACTTGGTGCCACAGGTGAAAGCATGTCAGCTTGGTATGCTTGACTGTGCGTTAATCTCCATTCTTCAGGATCTTTCGATTCCATTGGAGTCGTTATATGCCAGTGAAGAAAAAGAGGGCTGAGCAGTTCACTCGGAATTGCGTGTTTCTGGAATATCATTCATAAGACGTGGAAGCCAAATATTGCGGCTGTCTCTCAATCTAGCAAATACGGTAGTCTCACATGCTCCTGCCGGACGCGGCACACCGGGCCTGATCAATCTGTCCTCGTATTCAAACTCTTGAACAACCGTTGCAAAGATTCAGACTCGAGACCTAACCTTACAGACCAGAATTGGACGTTGATCACGTCCGTCTGTCTGGCGAGATCAATCTGCGTCTTCAGAAGGGTCAGAGGCTGCAAAGAGTATTCTATCTCTCTGATATTCTTCTGGCATGCTTGACTGCTGCTTGACGAGTCTGCTGTAATGCTGGCTAACCTGCAAGAGCGAGTCCCGATTTGGATCGAAGCTCATCAGCACAACTGGTCTCAAAGATGCGTTCATCAGTCTCCGAGATTCCGGTGACAACCGAGTTTTCTTACGGTAGGTGTTTGCAGGTGCTCATCAAGATAAGCAGCGGACACCAGGCTAACTTTTTCGTCACGGTCGGACTGTCCACAACTTCTTTCTATGACCACGGAAGATTTACAAGCAGAATTCGAAGCCTTACCCTTGCAGACTTGGCCAGCTGGCCGTTACTGCCAGAGTCTCAAATCAGACTCCTCGATCAGGGTACGCACATCCAATTTGACTGAACGAACATGCGATGTTGGTCCGCTTTACAGTAGGATCCGAGAGCTTTGGCTTTGGCTTCTGCTTCCGCCCCAAGCCCTAGGAGAACTGGGTCAAGAGCGTCTATAATACCTCGCGTCTCCCTGTGTGTACGCAAGGTTCGCTTTCGCCCCACGGCACGCACCGGTGACATTGCGCAGCAGGGAAAGTGCCCAATCAGCGGCAACGGACCAACAGTTGATGATGCGCGATCTGATTTGATATTGTTACTCATTGATGGTTTGTCTGAAGCAGGGCCCAGCTCGAGCAGAGTCTCCGCGATCTTTGGCAGTTTCTTCAAAAGTTGACCGGCATGCACTGGCACATGAAGTTGACGTTGGGTCCTCGAATGTCAGCGGGGCTGCAATGGACAACACCGGTCCTGTTGCGGTCGTCGAACTTCAAACTGCCACGGTCTGCTCCGAGAGATGCGCTCGCAAACGGACGCCAGTCTGACTGACCCCAGGCACTTGAGCGTGCTGCCCCGCACCAGCAGCAGCTCGAGAGGTGGCCTCTCGGGCAGCAGATGGGCGTGCTTGTCGCGCGTCAAAGCCAGGTTGAATTGCAGGTTGCAGCAGCGGCTCGAACCAGGACATAAAAGCAGGCACAGTAAGAGAAGCGCCTGCATGCGGAAGGGCAAGGCGACAGACCGCAGAGCGCGAGAAACCGCCATGAAGCGTTCCCCTGCCGGAGTGGCCCTGCTGGTCCTGGCACTGCTAGGGCGGGCAAGCGACCTAGGGCCCGGTGAGCGACACGTAGCCGGCCCACCATCCAGCGGTTTGGTCTTCTATGAATAAAAGCTGCGGGGGCTATCAATCATTCTGCAGATTCCCCAAACTGGAAATAGGCTGAGAGCGACCTCAATGCAGTTTGGAGGAGGGTCGAGGAGCCGGCCTGGCAGGCAGAGACGTCGTATTACTGCCTTGCGAAGCACGAACTCCGGGTTCTGGAAGGCGTGGTACGTAGCAGTTGAGGGAACTTTTTCTAGCAAGGGCCCCCGGTTTGGTTTGCGGAGGCTGCCGTCGTGTGGCCCTCTTCACAAGCCGGTGTTTGGGCTTGCAAAGGATCTGCTCATCGGGATGTTTACAATCTCGAGCTTCTGGAGCGAGACTCCGCTGCTTCTCTTTCATCGTCTCTGCTTTCTGCTGCAGGCGTGCATGCTCGGGCGCTGCTCCAGGCCACCGCCAAAAGTGCCCCCGCGGCGGCCCCGCTGCCCGCGCCGACCCCAGGTAGGTACCGCCCCGCGGGACTGTGGTAGGAGCGGGCCGTGCGTGCTCACAATATTCCTGTCACGATGAGCCGGATGAAGGGTGGACTGCGTTCAATGCACACCGCTATACTTTTTCGTTTTGAATGACTCAATTGACTGTGGTTTGTCCCTGAATCTCGCCTAACCCTGAGATTGCTTTAGACTGTTTTAGGATCCGGAGCAGCAAATAAGAACGGTTGAAAAGGGAACTTGAGTGTAGCTCGACTATGCGGGTTCGAGACTCCAGATTGAGTTCAGCCGGTGCTTACACAAGGGGCCGTACTTCAAATCCATACTAAAGGCAGTGTTACTAGTCTTACTTTGAGCTCTGTTGGCGCACCATCTGGGAGAAGCTTTTCCAGAATTGCGCTTCTTCCAGGATACCTGCAGTCTGTCATGCAAAGGCTGGCAAAAGAAGGCCACGTGCCGTCCACAGACGAAAACTGCACTACCTCGGACTGTGCGAAGCTACCTGATGGCCGTGAATCGTAAAGTAATTCTTCCAACATTCGTGTGCCTGATTCATTCCCGACCCCAGTGGTTCCGCAGATCAGCCTCTTTGTTTATTTCTGCCTCTCTTTTTTTTTCTCTGCCTGGGCCATCAACAGTCGACTTGTCTCCCTGGCTGCAGCGGCGTCTCTCCCGGAGGGGTGCCCTCCGGTTGTGCTGTCCAAGTTTGAGGCGCAGGTGGTGAACGCGATGAACGCGGTGCGGTCCATCTACGGGCGGCCGCTGCTCGTGCCGGACCCCGTCCTCATGTGCGCCGCGCAGAGCACCGCGCGCGACACCGGCCTCGGTGAGCCCCTGCAACACCACCTTGGCCACTTCCAAGTGAGGATGCGTGGCTTGGAATAATTGGAAGAAGAACGTCCTTTTCAGCGGGCGCCGCAGCGGCGCCATCCAGTCTGCACGGATCGAGAAACTGACTCGCTCGTAGCTGTCTCCACAGTTTCCATGCCTTCAATGAGCCTTCGAAACTTTGAGACTCCTCGTTCTTCCTTCGAGCTGAGATGACTTTCTTAGCTCGTGTTCTCAAGGTGCTGCAGGATGACGAGGCAAAACACTTTGGCTGTTCCTCAAATGCCTTTGGATCGCAAAACCATTCAGCACTGGGTCTGTGAAGAGCAATCCGTCTCTGTGCTCCTTTCTTCCTCTAGCAGACGACGGTCCCACGCATCAGGCGCTGTTTTAACAGAGAAGGAAGAACTGATTGTTTGTGAAAGCTTGCCTGAAGCGACTCCACGGGCCTTGCAAGCTTTAGGGATCAGTACGCCCGCGCCTGCCAAGCTTCGAGCGGCTGAATCGCTGTTTTGGCCTGTGTGCAGAGCAGGCGTGTGCGCCGGTGAGCGACACGCTGGGGCTGGCCAACACGACGGTGGCGGCGCGCATCCTGGTGTGCCAGACCGCGGCGGGCCAGTGCACGCTGGGGCCCATTGACACTGCGGAGACGTCGCAGCTCACGTCGTGCAACTCCGCGTCGGCCGGGGTGAGCGGCTTTGAGAATCGGGTCAGCCAGGAAGCGCTCGTGGGCTGGAAGAGGGCAGGATGTGCAACGTACTCGGAAGACCATTGCACGAAGCGATGCAGGTCGCACCAGGTGTTGCATGTTGCTGTCAGGTGCACTTTGCGGGGCAAGGTTGAAAGCGTCTTGCAAGACGAAGATTGCTTGGCGTATTGGATGTCGACTCCGCGACTGCATGATTTCATTTGAGTTGTCTGAGCAGGCAAGTCTGACACTTCACAAATCGGCAGAGCTCGGTGCCCCGCAAAAGCTCGTAGAGCCGGTGTTGATCCATATCGAGCATACTCCGTTCTGCGAGCGTGCAGGTGCTGGCGCGGCGGTGGGAGAGGCTGGACCCCGGGTGGAACACAACGGGCATTGCCAGCCCGGTGTTCACGCGCGTGGGAGTGGCCAACAACCAGGCCGACCCAACCATCTTCTGGGCCGCAACGCTCAGCCCCTGAGCAGCAAGCCCAGCTCGTGGACAAAGTCATGGCGTCTCTCAAGTCTGTCCCGGGTGATTGCCTTCTTTTTATGCTAGAATCATGATCTGGGCCCCATTGTTGGACGTCAATCGTTTGAGATCGAAAATGCGAGCGGCGTGAATTTTCGGCAGAAATTTGGAAAGCATGCGAGGTATTAGACACTCAGCCAGTTGGTATGCACATGGCCGGATACATCTCTCGTTCATTGGTCGTGTGATCATCCACTCTAAAGATGCTCGATTATCATCTTCTTCTATCACGTACCTGGCAAGTCCATTGCGGAGTATCTTGTGACGAATGTTGTTGGCATGCAGCTATAGGCAACCAGTCTCGAGTATATTATTCGATGGTGTCAACACATTCGCATGTTGGATGTGGCTGCATCAGCACACGAGGCCGGACGTATCACGAGGAACTAGAATTTGTGTACATGCATGCATGCCTGCTTTACACTTCAGCTTTTAATGCAGTCACGTAGCTGGCCGGAGATGGTCGGCCTAGCTTCAAAGATTCCCCTGTCATGCAACGTACGCAATATGCAGGTCTCCATGCGTAAGCAGGCCGCGGTGCTGCATCCAGGCGCGAAGTAATATGCACACACAAGACAAGTGCCTTAATTCAAGGGCCTCACATTGCTGCGTCTGGCCGGAAGGAAACGGCCTTTTCGATCGTGCAAAAGAAAATGCCAAAGGGAGCTCGCTGCAGCTAATGCAAATTGGCAAATGTCCCAAATGACTCCGAAGTCAGTCGGATTCATAACCCTCGGGATATTCAAGATGCTGCAAGCCTGCATCGAAGCGTAAATGTCACATACATTCTCGCCGCTTCATGGCCAAATGCGGCTTTAGGTCGCTGCACTTTGCACATGGTGTACGTTGCACTTAGATTCGGTGTACCAAGGAGCCCATATAGCCCCTTTTCAAGATGGTGTGAGGTCACTGCGCAGGGCCGTCGTCTACTGTTTATTCACTCGCAACACAAGGCAACTTGCTTCATGGTTACAACTGAGTCACGTCCAAGTACTCTCATGCCGGAGGACAGTACATTTTGTTTCATGAAAAGTAACCAAATGATCGTAGCTGTGAGGAGTGCTTCCTACACCCGTTTGATATACCTACATCGAACTGCCATCCTGTGGCCGTAATCACAAAGATTTCCTGAACGTCTGCCAGTGTGGCTGGCCGGAGCAAGGATGCGTACAAAACTCCACTTAAAAAGCGGCATCTTAGAGACATTGAAGGGAAAGCATACTTGGTCAGATTGCATATCAGATGGGCGATAAGAAGGTGGCAAAGTGTAAGCTCCGTTCAGGATTTGCTCCATGGATGTGCTTGCCGATCAAAAATATAGGGCCGTAACAAGCCGTGAAGCAACAAGAAGCACGGCAGGCAGCTCATCAGTTGCGTTCACGTTCTAGAAAGTCTCCGCTCCACAAACATACCCTACCAACGCGCATTCCTGTTAGGACCATCCCAGTAATACAACATTTACCTGTGCTCTAGAGGACTAAGGTGCCTGGGCAGTTTGTGCAATTTGATCATGCTTACTTCTCCCACTTCTTGGCGCACAGATCAGCCAAGTCAACGACACGTTGAGAGTAACCTGCAAAGGACCAATTAGTGGTCAGACCTGCACAATCTGAGTAGAGCAAGTGCGAGCCAGGGAAAGAGGCCTCATGGAGCAGATTTGCATGGCGGCAGTGCAATCACTACCAGCACTGGAAGTGCATCCTTGACGACTAAGTGGCGACCGCACTCTTGTACCAAACATTAGAACACAATCAGTCTGTACATGCAGATTGAACATAAAATGCTTCTCTACATTGCAGCCCTCGACAAAAGAGGGGCCTCTGTTGACTCACCCCACTCGTTGTCATACCAGGCCACGACCTTGACCATGTCGTCACCCAGGACCATTGTCAGGGAGGAGTCCACCGTGGAGGACACGTCGGAGCACCTGAAGTCGATGGACACAAGGGGCTCGTCGTTGACGTCCAAGATCCCCTTGAGCTCGTTGTTGGCAGCCTCCCGGAAAGCGTTGTTCACCTCCTCAGCGAAGGTCTTCTTCTCAGTCTGCAAGAGACAGGCGCGTGGCTCAGGCACATGTGGGCAGGCCAACAGCTCGACGATGCTTGGATATTTCAAAATCAATCTCCAATCTCCGAGACAGGAATAGGCCCCCTAACTTAGCCCGCAAGCAACCCTATCCAAGCCTTAGCCCAGTTGTCAAGCCTCCGCAATTCCAGTCAAGTAGTGACTGCGATTACCACCTCGTGCCTGAACAAATGCAAAGGGGTCTCAAAACGAAAGCTGAAATGCAGTCTCAACCTACAAATGGGCTGGGCTTCCTTCAACGAACACTGGATAAGATGAGTTCTACAACTCACATCGAGCTCCTCATGCCAAGGAAACGAGATTCTTCTCTTGTAACTGAAAACCCTCATCTAAGAAGCCACAGGAATGGTGTGCAGACCCTCACCTGGATAACCAGGTCAACGACGGAGACATTGGGGGTGGGGACACGGAGGGCAATCCCGTTGAGCTTGCCCTTGAGCTGGGGCAGCACCAGAGCAACAGCCTTGGCGGCACCAGTGGAAGTGGGCACAATGCTCAAGGCAGCAGCGCGAGCGCGGCGCAGATCACGGTGGGAGGCGTCAAGCAGCCTCTGCGAACAACAAGGCAGTGAAACGGATGAGTTTTATTTTGAACCATCATAATTCATGTCGTCCTCTATTCCTCCAAATCACCATGCCCCGTGTGACGATGTAATGCTTGCTCATGACCGGGATATCGGATGCATCCTTTGGCATGTCGCAAGCAGAACCAGCACACATTGAAGTAGTGCAAAGAAATATGTGAAGAACCTACCTGATCGCCCGTATAAGAATGTGTAGTCGTCATACAGCCCTTTACAACACTGTAGAGACGAATTGGACAAAGTTAGAGTCGAACTAAGAGGAGGAAGTGAAGAGATATGAGCAGTATTTATGTAGCCCTTGATCACCCTGCCCCCAGGTCAAAAGGAAGGGGAAAAGGGGTCCGAACAAACGATGTGGCTCTTGATTCCCTCTGAAGGTCCACTAGTTTGTGGTGCACACGTAGCAAGGAAACAGATGCGAGTAATCCTGCAAGGGCAGGAGTCACAGCTCTAGGATTGACAAGAGTAAACTGGCAAAGAAAGGGACCGTGAGGACTTGCCGTGATACCATTTGGCAGGACAGAACCTCACAAATAGATATCGTTTATGGAAAATGCGCCCTTTGATTGACTCCACAAATCAGGCTCAAGGGGTAGGGACGCAACATGTATCAACCAAGATGGTGCTCGAACACACTGCAGACCATAGCAATGAAGGGCCAGAATTGAGGACAAGGAATGCAGCACATGGAAAATGATGCAAGAAGCAGTCATGGCAGGTATGAAAAGGGAATCTGGGCGGGGTGGAATATAGACGGTAATAGATCCATCCCCGACGCCAAAGACTGTGCGCACAAAGTTGAGCAACTCAAATGCGTTCAGTTGCCAGCAAAACCCTAAAATGCAGAGTAGATGAAAACACTGCAGGCCAACTCGGTATTGCAAACAATCCCAAAATCATCTTGCAGCTTCCTTCTACTGATTTAACTTGTGCAGCTGATACTTTCAGTCTGCAAAATCGTCTCATGAGGCCGACAGAGCGGATGTACTGCCACAAGAACTTCTCGACTGTTCGCTTACCCAAACTTCTGGTCGAGGACCTTGACGAATGGCGCCAGGCAGTTGGTGGTGCAGGAGGCGTTGCTGATAATCTTCTCCTCGTGCTTGTACTTCTCCTCGTTCACTCCAATCACGTATGTCGGGATGTTGCCCTTGCCGGGCGCAGTGATGAGCACCTTCTTGGCGCCCGCCTCCAGATGCTTGCCGGCACCCGCCTCATCGACAAACACACCGGTGCCCTCAATCACCAGGTCAATGTTCATCTCCCTGCAATGCCCGAGCGCTTTTATCAGCAATAAGGTGGCGTTGCCCGTGGTGTCATCTCTGCTTCAATATTTGCGTTTGTACCATTACCTGTTTGGAACCCCTCTGGACAAATGGCAGGTCTTGAGCGCGCAGCATTTATCAGCTTTTCTGGTGGGTAGGTGCACACTCTGCACCCCAAGTGATCCCTTGCACGACAACTTCCAAGCTTGCATTGTGAGGGTCACAAAGGACGCTGATGTCAATGCATAGTTAGAGTTGCAAAGTCGGATAAGTGCGCGCGGAGATGATGGATTCAATTGGCCAACCCTTGCGCGAAACTTGAAAATGTGCCCGAGAGTGCTTTCACAGGTGGCTCAAGTGTGCTCGTATCATTGCCTCAGGATTTCTACAGTCCCTACAGACGCACGTGTATGACTGGAGACAAATCCTGCGTAGAATCTGCCCAGCCTCTCCATGGCAATGCACCTGGCACTGGTGAACAGGATAGCTGTACAATTGCACATGGATTTGAAGCAAGCAGCACATAACGGAATGCAGCTCGCGGATGTGCATACATACACAAGTGCCCATCTGCATGTGATCCTGGGAGCTGACAACCCATTTATGCACTTATTGGGGATAATGCGGACGAGTTTCACTTCTCACCCCCAGGGAAGCTTTGTGGGGTCCCTGTTGGAGACGACCTTGATGACCTTCCCATCCACAGAGATAGCATCATCACCGACGACCTTGACATCAGCATCAAATGTGCCGAGGATGGAGTCGTACTGCAATAAACAACGGGCAACTGTTGCCTGCTTGCTAATTCCGGATCACATTGGTGAATGTAGAGCACAATGCACATACAAACCACAACATTTATACCAAACCTTCTCAAAAAGGTGCAAGATCCAATGAGACAAGGGAGAGCAGGACACCTGGCAAAATGGGCTTCGCAAGGAATCCTCATGCTCTTACCTTCAGCAAGTGGGAGGCCTGCTTGACACCGCCGGTGTCGTTGATAACAACAACCTCCAAAGGAGAGTTTTCTCTGCCGTTCCAGCACCGGAGGAAGTTGCGCCCTGTTCAGAAAAGTAGCGTCTCAGTTGCCCGCACAGAAGAGCTAGAAACCAAAGACTTCTGCTTCTGAAAAATCACAGCTGTATGGTCAAGGCAGGTAGCACGCATGCAGAGACAAGATCTGCAATGCCTTACCAATCCTTCCGAAGCCGTTGATAGCAACCCGGAGCTTGGCCTCAGCCGTGGTGGCACCCTTCCTTGCCCCAGTTGCAGCAGCCTTCTGTTACACAAGGACGAGGATGAGAAGGAGCCACAGGCTGAGCCTCTGGCAATATTCAAATGAGCCTTCCATCCTCAGTATGATTTTGTGCGGCCTGCTGCTCTACCATAGCAGTTAACCAGCTACCAGATGAGGCACATTGACCATTATCGGTAGGGAGCCAGACCAACCTAATTCGCTGCATCCTGACTTTGATTCTTGGATCAGCTTGCTGGATCTGGAGGAAGAGGCCATCCTCTTGTGAGGCAATGCCATGACTTCCATAGCAGTGATACGACAGGGTCTTGAAAGACTGAGAGTATAAAGAGGGTCCAACACAGGGAGAAAAGCACTGGAGATGGACAGGCACAATGCACAATGCACAATGAAGAAAACAAGCGGCCAGCGCCTACAGCAATGCTCACCACAGCCACCTGGCGGGAGACAACAGACACAAGATCCTGTGCCTGCCTGCTGCCATTGAAGGTCACTGCGCTCGAGCTCTTCAGACCACTGAACTCAGAGAAGTTGAGGGCCTTCTGGCTCTGAAGGCAGAGAAAAGAGCACATAAGCTGGTGAGGTTCCAGGTTGACCATCCCGTGAAGTTGAGCATCTGACTGACCCTAACTACGATGCATCTGCAATGTGAATGATTTGGAAGTCCCCATAAGCAGATTCCAGAACCGGCATGTTGCCAGTGGAGCTCTGCCTGCGACAAGCTTAAGCTCAGACCCTCAATGAACAACATCAGATTGCACAATTCTAGTGCCCATGTTTGCATGTGCACAGGTGCAATGCTGCAAATTTAGAGGATAACTCCCGGGACTCTCTTGTCACAGGCTTTGAATCGAACACCTACCTTTTGAGCAATGGGCAGAGCGGCAATCCTCCTTGCGGATGTGCCTGACCGGGCAGACACGGCCCCAAAGCTGGCGACCGAGGAGAGAGACGTGGCAGCAATAGCGTTCGCCATGGCTCCTCCCTCAAATGCGTGATCCTTCAAACGTCAGAGCTTCTTTCGTTGGCAAAGAAAGAGACAGCCTGCCAGAATCAGGAAGACAACATTGAACAGAGTCCAGACTGCCAGAGTCGAGGCCCAAAAGTACACAGGCGTCTCCTCGCAGTTGCATACCGTATGCATACACCCAAGTCTGCCACCAGTCTGCGGCTGCCAAAACAGGGCCTTTCCCCAGCTTTATCCACCCACCAACCTTCCCACTGTGGCTGCGATGAGCAGTGATTGTGATTGGACGGCTCTCGCGGCTCTCAGCTGCTTGTGGCCCAGCGTGGCCGGCAATCGGGCGGTCCTGACCGACAAATTTGATGACATGTACGCAAGTCTTAAACCGACGGCATGGGAAGACCCGACTTGTTCGCTGAGAATCTTCTAATGGACGCCCACGATCGTTCTGGGGCATATCGACGGCAGTCACTTGTTCATCTAGTGCCCTGCATTATGGTGGCGCCCAGGTGGGCCTCGGCCCCTCACCCAGGCTTGCTGCAATGGCCGGCTTGCTTGCAACCACCTGAATTGGCGTCCAACGGCGATTCGGATAGACAATGTGGCGCAAGAAAGCACCTGCATTGGCAAGCTCCTGAGATGGCGGGCACTGCGCAGGCCCTGATGCTCTGCTCTCTGTTGTAACAGGGCACATTTTTGAAGCTTGATTTAACAATACACTACCTAGTAGCACAAAGAAAACAGTACGGTCTTGCGTGAATGGATGACCACTTTTGAGAATTATCGTTGTATCGATGGACGGTGCAAACCTGCAACTAGCTGAGAGCTTACTCTCAAAATCGTACGTGCTGCAAGGGCAGCAAGCTTTGAAACAACGACACAACCTGGTGAGAGCATCCCGAAGCTGTGCAGTCTTTGCTGTACTTTGTGAAGATTCTCATGTTTTGCCGGATGATAATTGGGACATACGAGTTGTTGTTGGGTGTTTTCACAGTCAGCAAGGATCGCCATCACGGTTTTGCTCAGATATTGTACCCAAATCTTGCAGGTCAAGTCGCTGCTATCAAATAAACGTCTGCCTGACACGGGCTGGGATGATGCGTCCATTGAGTGGTTTCTCCAGGTAGGCAACCTGAATTGGCTTCGGCTGGAACAATGACTGCGGCTGTTTGTACTATTGCCCTCGCACAAGCAAGCCGTGTTGAACTTATCTCAGACAAAAGTCGAATTGCTTGGATTAAACGTGCGACCATTCACGAATACATCCGTTCCACGGCAATCTCTACTGTTGAAGACTTGGATTCCTTACGAAAGAGGTGTGGCCGAGAGGTCGTCATTCTCACCCCTTTATATTGATTGGCGTCCTGTTTATAAAGCGCCTATGCTTACTTCAATACTGAATCTGAGTTTGGAGAAGCGACTTTTAACGGTGTCCCCTTAAAGAGGTACGATTTGGGACTTTTCTCAAGTCATGAGATTGGCAAAGTTCAATCATGGTACTCCAGGATGCTTCTCTCTTCAGCAATTCGATCATTGGATTTCGAGATACACGAGAGCTGACATAAGGGGCAGCTAGACCGAAGAGCATGCGGTGCTTTTGACAATCAACCGGCTTGCAGGACCTCTCAATGATGGACAGCAACAACTTCCTGGACAACGTGGGCATGGGCGAGCGGGAGGCCAAGTGTGCAAGTCCGCTGGTGTGGAAGAGGCACTACGGCATGGCACATGGCATTGGGCGGTCTGGAAGCATCACGGATGAGCAGCCCAAGGTAAACTTTCCACTGACGCCTCAATCTGATATCTTGCTGAAAAGTAGGGAATCTGTTGGTTCACAGCAATGCAGAAGTTCCGCCAGAAGTTAATATGCTTCGAGCTCTCCAGACTTTGAGTGGGCGTGGACTACTAAAAACTATTGCTGTGACTCGAGAAGAGATAGAGGTCAAACTCATACGTCTAAAAACCTTTAAGAACATGCTTTTGGCTGCTCAAGCTCTGCCGTTATCTTAGAGCTGGAATATGACTGGAAAGGGCACAGTGCAAAAACTGGGCAGCTTATGATGAGCGGTGTCAACTGTACAGGCGGCGGGGTCCACTCTCCTGGCCAAGCTGAGTAACGCCCTGGTGAAGGACTCCCTGGAGATCGCTGGGTTGAAAGACATTGGCGCAGTGTCAGTGCTGCCACTGGCAACCGGGATGACGCTCATGCTGTCGCTGATGGCACTCAAGAAGAGAAGGCCCCCAGCTGCTCGGTGAGTGATGCAGGCCTGAAAAAGCTTCCTATCAATCATCATATGAATAAAAGGCATGCACCTCGCTTGCCAAATTTGAATTGCGGTTAAGAGCAAGCTGTTAGCTTTACTTTACCTGAATTCCTCAATTTCCTTGGCTATGTAGCTAGTCGGAAGTTAGCACAATTGGTTGTTGTCCGGGGGTCTCAAGGCTAAGAGATTGTTGGGGCTACAATGTTTTACCATTTTCGAAGGACTCCAATCCAGTGGAAGTTTTGGTTCGCCCACAGTATGGAATCTGGTCAATTGTGAGAGCGCCGGTCAGTAGCTCGAGTTCTTACTTTGGCTTCTAGGCACTTGACACACTCTCCTTAGAGAGTTTCCCCTCAAGCATTCACTATTCATGGTGCTGGATATCCAAAGGGAATACCTGGGGCGCATATTTCAAGAGACGAGCCTTGTTTCCCAAGTCTTGTTCATGGATATTCCATCGAAAGCTGTGATCTATCTTGGATTTGCTCACCCCAGGTACGTGCTGTGGCCGCGCATGGACCAGAAGTCGTGCCTCAAGTGCATCCTGGCCGCGGGGCTAGAAGTGGTGGTCATCCCGAACCGGCTAGAGGGTGACCAACTCCGAACGGATGTGGCGGCGATCCAGGCCAAGAGTGCGGAGCTTGGCAGCGACCAGATTGTGTGCGTCCTCACTACCACCAGCTGCTTTGCCACTCGGGCCCCCGACCGGTGAGTTCTCCGAGGAGGACCTTTCCACCTTGCTCCATCTTCAAGTCCGCATGCTTAAATCACCGGGGGCTTTGGATGGCTTCTCACATTTCAAAAGCTGGTCTTACAGCCTGACGAGGTTGAGGGATTTTTGTGAGTGCCTAAGCAGTACTGTGGTTGAGTAACACTTCAAGGGCGAACCCTCAGACTGTAGCTACCAGGTTTGATGACCCAACCAACTCGTGATGTTGAAAAAGCTTTGAAGTCCCCCCTAGAAGTAGCCGCTCGATGCCCGTCCTGTCGTGTGGAACGCAGTGTTCGTTCGGTTCCCATCCTGCTGTCAAAACACCTCTGGTTGGGTGAAGCATACAACTTTTCAGGCGGTAGCTAATGTTAGGGCGCCTGCAGGGTCGAGGAGGTTGCGAAGCTTTGCCAGAAACTCGGAGTGGGGCATATTATCAACAATGCATACGGAGTCCAGGTACGCCCTAGCCCTGAATCTACTCAGACCCAACACTGTCATGCTTGATAGCCACTCTTTTCTTGTCCACGACCTGCCCAAGATGTAGTAGGAGGATTGTTGACCAGTCTCTTGGCATCTCAAATAGCGCCATACGTGGCCCCCTAAGATAGTGAAGCGCTGCAGTCCCCATCTAAAAAGTTATGAGGCAGTGTGCAGTGATCTGCGGCTCCATCACCCAAGCCTGGCGTCGCGGGCGTGTTGATGCCGTCATTCAGAGCACGGACAAGAACTTCCTGGTCCCGGTAAGTCTGCCAACTGCAAGCTCGTCGATCGAGAGACAAACGTTCGAGCAACAGCTCGACTACAACCGTTTGTTTACCTGGTTCATTGAACTTGTTTGCTGGATTGGAAACCTGCACACGAAGTTCTTTGAGAGAAAGTGCTTGCTCCGATATTGCTTCAACTTCGATCACAAGTGCTCAAAGCCACTCTTCCACGCCTTGCGTAGGTTGGCGGTGCTGTGATTGCGGCTGGGTCGCGCGAGTGTTCCCTGGTGGACGCTATGAACCGCGCCTACCCCGGCCGGGCATCCATGTCGCCACTCATGGATGTCTTCATCACGCTACTCTCCCTTGGAAAGACAGGCGGGAACAAATTCTGTATCCCGTTGACTGCAATTGCACCGGTCCATGCCGTCGAAGCACACGAGAGGTCGAGACGTCTTGGTCATCGGTGGATTAGCTCCTGTAGTACTTGCAGACGCTTCGAGTCAATCAAGTTCGTAGGTTCTGACAAGTCGTTGGGTGCCGGAGACTTTCGCGAAGCTTCCCATCACTTCTTAGCTAAGGTCCGGCCGCATAGGCGCCGTTCGAACCAGGTCAGATCCGCTTGAACAGCGTATCTTTCAGAACTCACAACCCACAACCCACAACCAGGAATCTTAGCCACTCTCCTCCGCTGTGGGGAGCCTAGCATCTCGACGTTTGCAGGCTGACTTGTTGATCACGTTTTCACGAGAGACTACTTGCGATTTGTTGCACTGAGTCGGTACCATTTCTCTGCTTTATCTCGAAGCACGAGACTTACATGCTCAAGAGTTTCGTTTCTCCAGCTCTCCTTTGACCCGTACTCTTTTGGCGCACTTGGGTGTCCAGGCTGGAAGAAGGTCCTGGCTGATCGAGAAGTGACGTACGCCTACCTCAAGCAGCGGCTGACCCACGTGGCTGAAGCGCAAGGTAACTAGGCGGACTTCAACTTAACCTGGAGCTCTTTCGGATATAAATCAAGTTCCGTCTCCTTGCTATCAGCAGTAGCGGTGCGACCCCTGTTGCCCTGTTATTAAGCGGGCAATAAGCGGGGCCTCCGTGCGCAAATTGACGACCTGCTTGTCGCGAAATCTTGGGCGAGTACAAGCACATGCACGGTTGTTGGGTTGGAAGGAAGCTGTGCACACACACCGGTCAGGCTGCGCTTTAAAGGCTGCGACCCTTTGTCTGCTCGGACCACTCAGCATCGAACCCTATGTGCACGTCGAATGAACGAGAGTCTCGCTGTGGCTCACCCCGGACCTCGTAATCGTTCGAACGAGTTGTTTTGCCCTTACTCTCGGTTTTGGGCGTGTCCAGCAAGCTCACGAAAGGGTTTCTGACCACTACGTCAGGATTCCAGCCACCGGGTCTGACTGTGGTTTGGGCGGTCTGTTGTGCAGGCGAGCGGCTGTTGCACACCCCCGACAACCCCATCTCGCTGGCCCTCACCCTCACCACCCTCGACTTGCGGCAGCCGGTTCAAAGCACAACGAAGCCCTGTGCCGCTGCTGCCCCTGGACAGGTTTCACTTGGAAACCGTCAGGAACCTGTCGGTGCCGTCCCTTTGCAGCCAGCCGCCTCAGACATAGGCCCAGCTTCCGTGACAGCCGAGTCAACTGCCCGAAGCACTGGGAACACCCATGCTGAGGAAGGGGTGACATCAGCTCCTCCGGAGGGCGCTCGAGAGGGGGCCGTGGGTGGACGAGACACTGCTGCGACTGGCGAGTACACGCAAGGGGTTACGGAGGCAGCCCAGCTGCGGCGTGAGGACGGGGATTGCGCACACCCAAGCGAGGAGACTGCAGAACTTCGGCAGCGCCTGCCTGAACACGATGAAGCAGGCGGGTCGGTCTCGGGGCATGTACGCGAGGACGAGGGCTCCGTTTCCGCTGGAGTAGACTCCGGAGGGGAGCCTGCGGAGCCAGGGGACGCGGACGCATCAGGTCCAGATGGGGCCGGAAGGCCGGCCACGCAAGGAGGAGGCCGCAAGCCGTCCTCGCAGCTCACGTTCTTTGGCTCCATGCTCTTTGCCAGGTACGTGCCCTCTCCAATGCCTGCACACGGGTAAAAGTCGTGCTTCTCCTGTGTATCTTCCCCTTCTCTACTCTTTAACTGGTTGATGGTCTTGAATCTTTCGTGTCGGCTTCTGAAGAGACAATGCCTTGACGGTTCAACAGAGTTCGTAGACCAGCGGTCCCGTGTACTCAAACTAAGGTCAGGGCTTGCAGGTGCGTCTCCGGGAGTCGGGTCATTCCAAGGGGAGACGACAAAGTCATCGAAGGGATCCCTTTTGCTGGCTTCGGATCGTCATACGACAAGTAAGCAACATACTGGGGCGCCGACAATTTTTGTCTACGGATAAGTGCGATCGACAGTGTTAATCTCAGCCCTCGTCTCTTTCAAAAGCTTCGACCGTTTGGATATCCATTGGACAATCTGTGGGGGATTAGCTTCAAGCACAGTCGACTCCTGCGTGGAAAGACTGAACATTGAACGGATTCTTTCACACGATTCAGTGCCTTGGTGCTGTTGTGTGCACGTCCCGAGAGAATGAAGAACATGCAGCCCGACTTGATGAAATAAGACACTAGTCTTGACATTTGGAAAGAGGACGTGAGCCGGCCAAGTGAGGCGCTAAAGGATGAAAGCGCTTTGCAGGTTCCCCTACTCGTACATGACTGCGGCGGCTGCAATAGGGTCGACATGCGAAGAGGTGGACACCTTCATCACCCGCCTCGAACGCTGCTTTGCCGACTTCCGGAAAAAGTTTGGGAATTCAAGAAGGCCAATGCATACAAGTGAACTCACGAACAGCCCCCTTTCCAGCTAAGATACTATTGCCTCAAGACCCTCCCCATTGCAACTTACCGTCAGTCTGCGTTTTACAATGCAGAACGCTTCGGTCGCCTCAAGGCGTATTGATCGACCTTCGTATGGCCCAATGAAGACTGCGACAATGTTCTCTTTCCAAAACGCCCTAGTCACATGGACAATAGGCTTCCATGGCATACATATATTTATCGTTTGAGCTACGATTAACATTGGGTTTCGTAAGGAGACTTCGAACATGCTGTCATCCATGTTCGACATTTGAGGTGGGCGGTTTGCCTTGTTGAGGACTGCAGGCAATAAAGTCCCATCGATGTAAGTGCAACACAGTGGCATGAGATTGCATGGTGCAATTGCGGTGGCTAATTAAGTGTGTCCGTCCTCATGAGTCAAAAGTTATACTGTATATGTTATACGGAAAGGCCGCTTGAAGACTGCGGGCGACTACGACTGGGTTCACTGTGACAGCTGCCATGTGCAACTTTTCCAAAGGTACACAGATAACACAATATTAGCATGTATTGCAACCGCCAATTAATTCTGCGACCTCCACCTACCATATGTCATGCTGCCGGCGTTGGTGCATGTTCTCGGTATCTGTGCGGATGTGTGAATCTTGCAGAGCTCAACTTGACGGTGACTCGTGCTAGAAATCAGCATGCGCGCCATTGAAGACCTTGTAAGCTTAAAAGAGCCAGTCTTCGGTCGATGGACATCATGGACTCCCGAGTCCCCGCCCCTAAAACCCCAAAACCAGCCAGGGCCATCATAGGGCCAGCGAAGCCTCACCGACCCCTTGGAAAATCTTTCAGATGCTGACGTGTTATCTTGTTATGGCTGGTGGCGATTTTTGGTTTGCATCCAGCCGTCCATCATTTTCATCCGAGGACCTGCATATGCGGCTGTGCAGACAGAATCAATATCAAGTCTCGAACATCGATTCAAAGTTCAAACTTCAAACAATGCCAGCCTCATACTCGCGTTGAACGCATACCAAATTACCTACTAATAACAACAGCACAAGCGCCCATTCAAGCCCATTCAAGGTCATACAAGGCCGGATCGCGGAGCATTGGAAAGTTGGAGGGCCTGTGCATACAGAGTGTGTACACATTCTATGGCGGCTGCATTGTTTCGATACCCGTCTGGTGTTACAGCTTGCAGCCCAGACGTCAAAGAAATGAAGAGAAAGCGGCCCAGCAAAAGGCAGAAGGCAGCTGCGGGGGCGCAAGCAGAGGAGCATGGCGCGGGTGCTAGCCAGCACCACCGGGTGGCCACTGTTGTGAAGCAGTACTGCATCCTCGAGAATGATGTAGAGGTGACGCTGACCAACGAGGCCATGAGGGTGGAGCAGTGGGTCAGCGCGCACATGGCGGAGAGCTTTGGGCTGGACGTGGAGTGGAAGCCAACGTTCAAGAGGGGCGCCAGGTAGCTGCATCACAACCTTGGATGACAAACTGCGTCGGCGTGCTGGCGCAGGTTCGCGGCCGCCTTTCTTGTGGTGGACCTGGGTTCCTCTCTTTTGGCTCCATTGAAATGCTGCCAGTCTGAGAGAAGGCTCAGCAGACTTTCCATAGCTTGCTATAAGAGTCTCGACTGCGGCCTTGATGCATCCTGCTTGCTGATCTCACCCCCCAGTGCGCCATTGCTGATGGTGGTGGTGCCGTTGGCAGGGAGAACCCGGTGGCGCTGCTGCAGCTGTCCACGCTGCGGCACTGCCTCCTCATTCAGATGCAGCGCATGGCCACCATACCAGAAGGCCTCAGGAGGCTCTTGGCCGCACCTGAGGTGGCACTATCAGGTGCGCGTCGCCCCCTTGTCTACCACAGAATTGCATCACTGCCCTGTAGTGCAGACAGCTGGTTTTATTTCAACCTCACAGATCAGGCAACCGACTGAAAGTGCCAATATTCTGAAGTAGCCTAGCGTATGTGCGGCAGGGTCGTTTGCCAAGTTCAGGATTAGATCCTCTTGGCAGTCTTGGAAGACTCCTTCTGTCTCTGGGATCATGTTGGGGCCACACGCATGGCCACACACGATGGTCTCTGATTGTCGCTCCCAAAAATCGGTATGTTGGGGCTTGACATCTTACATGCCCCCCTTCCCCCAAGATGCATGTTCTGATTCTGAAGTCGTTCGATGCCCGCCAGGCGTGGGCGTGCGGGAGGACCTGCGCAAGCTGGCGCGCGACTACGGGCTGGAGTGCGACGGGGCGGTGGAGCTGGCGGTGCTGGCGGGGGAGGTGCTGGGGCGGCCAGAGCTGCGGCAGGCGGGGCTGCGCGCACTGTCGATGGCGGTGCTGCGCAAGGATTGGGTGAAGAACAAGCGGGTGACCATGAGCAACTGGGAGCAGGACCTGGACCAGAAGCAGGTCACGTACGCAGCAACGGACGCCTGGGTGTCGCACGCAGTGCACCAGGCACTGCAGAGACACAGAGGTGGGCGGGGCGAGGGCGCTGCGGAGTTGAGTGTTGGGGGCACTCGGAGGACTCGAAAGGGAGGTGAGGGAAAAGTGAAAGTGGTCGGAGGAGAAGACGGTGCGCTTGAGTTGGAGTTTGCAAGGGAGGTAGAGAGGCGGCAGATTGACGTCAACCCGCATGGAGCGTTTTTAAGAGAGAGGAGACGATTGTCGGGGCAGGACAAGTCTCCACAGGGCAGAGGGGCGGAGGTGGAGGACCTCTGCGACAAGTTGCCGCAAAAGGGGCAAGGGGAGGCAGTTGGCGATCTGCGGGTCGTGTTGACGGACAGGAAGAGGACGGGGACCAGCGCTGAAGCTTGACCAAGTGACCACCTCCAGCAAGGGTTGGGCTCACCGGCTGACGTGAGTCTCGAAGGAGGCTCGACAACTGCCAAAGATACTTTTGCCGAAGGGGAATCGACGCAAGTTGTTGGGGAAGTTCCGGTCGTCGAAGCTGGGTTGGCTGGGGTAAAGACGCGTGCAACAGCCAGTAGAAACGGACGACAGTTGACTGAAGCGCAGCTGGCTAGAAGGAAAAAGAAGGAGAGGCACAGGAAGTATGGGGGAAAGAAAACGGCCAGTGCAAGTTGAGCACAAGCTTTTTCCAGAGAAGTCGTTATCGGATGCGAATTGCTGTTGTGCTGTGCTGTGCCCATGGTGCAACCCAATCAGGTTACAATTACACATGCGCAGTACGGGAATCGAGTTTTACGTACTGCCTGACAAAGTTGGGAGATCTCTTTTGTAACCTGTTGCTGCCTGTACATATATCGACCACCGATAAGCTCGAAGTGAACGCTTTGGGTTTCCTATTTTGGAAGACTTCTAAATGATGCAACCTTGACACGCGCGCCCTGCTATTTGGGCTCAGGCAGTCTGCACTGCATGGTCAACCTCTTCACAATGCAAGATCATGGGTCCTGATTGGACGAAATCAATAGGGCGAGCTGCCAATCGGTCAGAATTCTTCACTGTCGCCTCGACTTGAGTGATGCGAAGAAGAGGGACGCTTGATGCTCGTGGATACGACCGGCCCACGTACCCACGTACGGTGCCAGTGCATATTTTCTAAAGTCGGTATGCACATGAATTCACCGTGACAAGAAGCTCACTTTGATAATAGGTATTGTAGCATGTACGTTTTCCGGTGTGGGACTGCAATTGCGATAATGGCGGCATTAAATCGATGCTATCAAAGGTACGTGCGGATTATAATGTTGTTTGTGTTTGGGCGTGCGTCTGCGGCTGATGTACGGTTTCAGACTCATTGTGGCCTGCTCGTTTGATATAGAAGCCCATCTGAGTTATGCAGCATACTGCAACCGTCAAGGCAATGCACGCACGTCCTTGCAAACGGCCTCGATCCTTGGCTAACAGTATTGTGGACGTACCACGCCACATCCTGATAGAGACACGGTGAATGAACTCTTCAAACATGCTGCACCAGCTAGGCGGCTGCACACGCACACCTTACAGCGTGGGGGCGCGAGAAAGAGGTCTGTCATATGGCATGCCGTGTCACCATCCTGGCCTACCACAGACATCACCGTGGCGCGACGAACACTACCCATGTAAGCTTTTGCGCGCGCCAGATACGATCCATTGACAGCGTTGATTGCTCTTTACTAAGAATGATGAGCAATCGTTACAGACGGGTCATCCTGCCAACAGCTAACCCAAGCCAGTTGACGTTCTTGAATACGTGGAGTCCGAACGTCTGGGCCGGGCTTGACGCATTTAGTCATGCGTGTTATGCAGACTTGATCAAACAATCTCTGTCGGCTAATTTGCCAGATAGCCTTCGCCTACGCCATCTCGACTGCTTTGCCCTTGTCCTCGGGAATTATTCTCCTTTCGGCGCATTTGTAGGCCAGCTTGGATGACGACCAGACCACGGAGGGAAGGAAGAAGAAGAAGGCGATGAAAGCCAGCTGCAAAGAAGAAGTGCGAATCTCTCAGTATATCATTAAGAGTTCATACTAGGTGCCAAAATAATGTATTAAGGCGAGCCACAGGCAACCCAATCGCATAATTCGGTCAGGAGAACGAGGCTTGAAGCAAGAGTACAAACTCATTTCACGTTGTCTGACAAGGGCGTCGTTAGACCCAGGGGCAGAACGAAATGTTCCGCGTCGCCGTGCCCTGCGGGAACCACAGTCTGCAATAGGGATAGGTGCCGTGTGGCCCTTTTCCCTCTTTTACGGGTTGTTACGTAGTAGCGTAAGTGGAGGACGGCAGGTGGATGAGCAGGGAAAGGCAAATTTGGACCATGTTCTGTGCACAGATTCCGGTTGAGGGGAGGCCACTCATGTGAAGGGAGGGCACTCACAGCGACGGAGGCCTTCGTGCGCGCGCAGAAGCTGTTGAAGGGGGTGGAGCCCTCGCAGGCGGCCTGACGGAACGGGAACGCGCCCTCGTCGTTGAACGTCGTCAGCCCCGCGCCCGCGCACCCCGCGCCGTATGTCATCAGAAGAGCGATCTGCCACCACGGAGACGGGGGTCAATCGATGGGGCGCCAGTATGCAAGCAGGCAACATGAGAAGCAGAATCGCTGGAGATGGTGTGCGGGTAAAGAAGCGACAGGATCGACTCGCTTTGAGCTTGTTACGTTATAGTTCGTTTACGTCTACCAGTGGGGGCCGACAACTGGCAGAAAAGAAATACGAAGCCTCAGATAGCCCAGTTTCGAGCGTCGGAAAATGCCTTGAGGCCGGAGCTGACAGCTCCCCTTCCTTCGCGCCGCTCACTCTCTGCTGCAATCCGGTTCGCTGGAGATGCGAGCAGCTCTTGGAACAAAGAAGTTGAACCAAATGATCCACTCTCTGACAATAAAGGGTAGTGAGTGGCTCACCCATTCTCCGAGGACGACGAGGGCGAGTGCCCCCAGGCCGGGGAGGCCCCGGCCGAGGCAGAGGCGGAAGAGGTCGTAGATAAGCATGCAGAGCGCCCAGAAGGCGGCGATGACTGTGCCGGACAGCAGAAACTTGAAGCCCTGGTACTGCCTCCAGTTGATGCCGTTGGTGCTCGACCGCACCAGCACGCTGCGGCGTGGCAAAAGAGAAGAAGGGGGGTGAGGTGCTGAAGAGAGAGCGCGCACTTGTTCCGGGGAAAGGAGGCGATTTTTTTTAAGGGGAGACCGAAAGCATTTAAAATGGTCTGCGTGAAGAAGTGAAGAGGATTCCTGGCGAAGGGGATGGTTTGCAGATTGTGGGTAAACTTGGAGCACTGAAATCTTGCATCGAATCCTCTTTCAAGCGAGCGTGCAGTCAAAATTGCGGTAGAAAAGGCTACAAGTCCTGTTGAGGTTTTCTTTTGAAGAGCATGTGACCTAATTGCTGTTGCCCCGGGCAGCAATGAATAGCAGATTATTGGGCTGCCTCCCCGTGCCCTATCGCCACTTCCTTGCGGCCCGTTTCATACCACGCTGCAGCATAGGCCTAAGTTCTAGAGAAATGATAGAAACTCACTTGTTCTTTTCTTGGACCTCGTTTTCATAGACGGAGCGTTCGCCTTACCTGAAAGAGCAGATGAGGGTCGCCAGCTGAAAGAAGCGCAGCAGGGGGCTAAAAATGTTCCAGGCCGTCACCTTGCGCCGCCGCGGCCGCCGCTCGTCATCTGCCATCGACAACTCAAAAACTTCCAGACGCCTATGCGTTGAAATACTTTCACAGACAGCAACGTACACAGATTTCTGACTCAATATTGCTCGCGGAAGAAAAGCGCCGTCCTTTGCTTCTGAAGGAGGTTGCTTCAGCCGGTGGCAAAATGCTCACAAGTAATGGAGCGCGGAGAACCTGCTTTCAGTCATGCCAAACTTCGACCTCATCGTGGCTTTGCGTCACTCTTCTCTTTCATCAAAACCGGACTGCTTTCTGAATGTTGCTCTGGATGGTGGGTGCGGCGCGCTCATCTGGTGCAATAACGTCCGCTGCGCCTGATGCCTACTCAGGCATTCAATGCAATGGGGCCCTGGCCTGCAGCTTCCGGATGCGTAAGCTATTCTGAATCTGAAAAGATCCGAGGCAGAGAGCTGCCTACCTAGCAGCTCACAGAAAGCGGCGCCCCTGCGACGACACTAAAACAGACTGACCTTCCGCATTGACTTTCTCGGTTTCTATTTGCGCGCCGTCCGACAAGACTGCTTGGAGGGGACGGTGCGCGGTTCGACTTTGCCATAGGTATGCCGTACCTTTCTACGTCCCCTCCAGCACTGAAAGTTCGTCGAAGTCGGGTGCCAGAACATCCAGGCTGGGGGCTCAGGCCGACGATGCATGAGGACACTGGGTCAAGCCGGTGACGTGGCGACCCTGAGAAGAGTCCAGCGCCTTGCTTGTACTCTGGTGTATGTCATGGTGGAGAGACGAACAGCCGGAGGCGAAATTGAGAGTTAAGAGAAAGGTGATTCTAGCGGGCATAGGCAGCTGTTCGAGCATGACCCAAGGAAGCCTGTCCAGGGAACATCAGGGATGGCGCGCATGAACGCTGGCACAGGACAGTGCAGGGAAAACGGGGGACGGCCGGGAAGCCTCACTTCCATAAAACGCAGACTTACAGAGGAAGAGTTTCGTTCTAGGTACTCTGGAACTGATGCGCCAAGGTGATGTTTCATTTCTCACATCATCCTGCGAGCGTAAATGAGAACGACGCCAGGGTGGGTCCTGCTTGCCTGAAGACATACAGAGTTTTTTGTATCTCCTCAACGAACAGTCACAACCTGAGCGCTCCTCTTTGATGGCAGCGCAGGGCTGAAGAAGCGCCGGGCTCAAAAATCCCCTCGTGTTGCAAGTCAATCGTGCCCGTCCGCTGTTTGCTGCTTGTCTTAGAGAGAGAGAACTAGAAGAGGAGGGGCACTTCGCGCACGTTCGTCCTGGCCGTGTCGCTGGCCCTGTGGACGGTCCATACCGGGATGGCGGAGCTGGTCGAGGAAGAGACCTGGGTGCAGGAAGCGGGGGAGGAGGAGGAGCTCACGCCCGTTCCTTCCGCTGTCATCGGGCGGACCATCCCGGTCGAGGGCCGCCCCGAGCGGCCGCGCGCTGAGGCTGCCCCACCAGCGGAGCGTCGCCGCGAAGCGGAGCCCGGTGTGAAGCCGCCGGTGGCAGCAGGGCCCAGCGTCCCGCCAGCCAAGGAACCGCCCCGGGCACCGCCTCCCACAGCGGCTCCCGCGGCCGCTCCTCCCGAGAGGCCGCCCGCGCGGCCATTGGTCGAGGCGGCCGCGCCTGCACGTCCACCCCGGGAGGAGAAGAAGGCGGGGAAGAAGAAGCTGAAGGAGCGGCTGGCGGGGATAGGGCGGGGCCGGCACTGGGCGCACATCGGCGGGGTGCTGCTGCGCTTCCTGCAGCTGGCCGCCTTCTGCGTGGCCTTCTCCGTCATCGCGGCGTCGGGGGACAACGGACTGCTCTTCTCCGACTTCCAGGTGGGGCCCTCGACGCAGCGGAAGGACAAAATCAATAAAGGCTGAAAAGTAGAAACCGGTCTCTCGACCCTAATGGATGCTGCTCCGTCCTTGCAGAACGTATTTGGTGCGCAAAAGCGATTGGGGAGGAAGCAAAAGTCGGATATAGGAAGCGAGCAAGATCTTCAATCGTACAGCCCAATGGGAGCGATTTGCAGGCATGTTTGTGCAAGAGGATTGAACGAATTGAGTACGCTTTAGCCAATTTCCCAACATAATCGAAACTCAAAACCTGGCTTTCTTTGAACATCTTAGTGTTGCCAATACCGACGCCCAGAGATTTCGTAACTCTGTTACCCATCCCATTTTTTGGCTCTGAATCTGCTGTGGTCAAAACAAGCCCCGCAGTCTTCTTTGTAAACCATTTTAGAAGGGCTCTGAAGTTTACGGGGATCGATCCGTTCACGTTGCACTGCCAAGCGTCGTACCTTGACCGCTTATGATGAAGTAACAAGGCACGTTCATTGGAAATCCATGGTCCATAGAGATCCTTGCGGTTGAACCCACGGTTCGTTTCGCCATCTTCGTCTCCTCTTCGGCTACTCACCGAGTTTGTCCCCCTTGCCAGGCGTTCACTTTCCTGGTGGCGGCCACGGTGATCGGTGCCACGTGGACGCTGTGCATGCTGCTGAACGAGGTCAGCAAGTTGATGAGCACCTTCACGCGCCAGGCCGCCGTCACCACCCTCGACGTCGTGAGCAGCGCCAAACCAGAACTCAACAGATTGCTCTTGCTGCTTGAACTTTACAGGCGTTGCAACTAATTAAATCTCCGCGATGGGTCAGTGGGAAACCTACAAACCAAAAAAACCCGTAGGTTTGGAAGGAGAATTATGACGGAATGTCCAGGAAAGAGTACGACTGCTGCATCGATCTTGGGAGCTTACTAGAAAGGCTTGCAGCCAAGGGCATGTAGCTTCCATACTTGGAGCAGAGTACTTCGCCAAATGCGATCTCAGCGAGTGCTCGCGTGCTTTGCAGGCGATCCTTCTGCTGGTCTACGGGGCTGCGTGCGCCAGCGCAGCGTGAGCTCTGCCACTCAAAATCCACACCGATCTGCCCGCTTTGCTGAGTTGTGAGGTTGAGGCTCGAGTCCTTCACCAGGTCTTGAAACAGAGTTTTGAATCTGTGACGATCTTGAAGAAGCGAGGCAGGATCGGCTGCCAAAGCCTTCACATGCTCTTCAGATAGAAACGGGACGTCAGGATGCGAACGTAATCGGCAGAATAACATTTGAAAGATGGACTAGAGCTACTAGCCAGCGGAGTTATATGGTTTTCAAGTAACCTAAGGCTTCCTTTGGGTCAATCCTGGAACGTGAATTTTCGCGTGCGCCAGGCTGAGCCCCCTCTGACGCATCCGTCTCTCCCCGCGCAGGCTGACGACACTGAACGACAGGAGCGCGCGCCCCGCGTACCCCCGGGGCATCTGCCAGACAGGCATCTTCAGCAAGTTCTGCTCGCGCACCAAAGCGAGCACGGCGGTAAGCCTCCCCGGCAGCATGTTAGGCTTTCCATGTCTGAACTGACGTAGTGTATCGGCGATAAGTTGCTTATGCAGATCGTGTCTTGCTCAGCGTCAAACTTGGTCGCGCAATAGCCGGTCGCAAAGAACACGGCGAAGATCTTGACGATACCCTCTCCATGTTGCGCCCAATTATTGCTGGTGATTCGCGCAGTCTGCCTTACATGCAATCACCGTCAACAATCAGGATTCTTTTTCCTGTTGTCGGATCCTCTTGCTGAGCACATTATATGGTCTTCGCAATCTTAAAGTGGCCCTGTGGAAAGCGTCGATGCTTTCTCTTGCTGCCGGCCGACATACCTCGCTTATCAGGCATCTGGCCGAACTCCTCGACTTGAGACGTCTGATTAAAAGGAATAACATTTCCAGGTCACTCAATCCACTCAAAGTCGTCGTGCTGACCTGCTGCTCACTTACTGCAGTTTGGGTTCATCGGCTTCGGCTTCCTGCTGCCGTCCGTTATCTGGGGCTTCTATGGGACCGCCAAAGAGTACATCAAACGCAAAAGAGAAGGAAACCGAAGATAGGGGCAGAAAGCATCCAGCTTTATGTTTGGCAACAAGGTCACAGTGCTGTAAAACTCAAAAAGTCCAGTTGGACACTTGCTGTGACAACTACTGTTGCGTGCTCCCTATGAGTCTGGCCAGCTCGATCCGTATGCTGACGAAGTTTCTACTTGCCCTAAGATCCCTTGCTAAAATACGGCCTTCGAAGCACGCTTGCCACACGCGTATGTACATTGACCTGAATTTGTATACGTAGAGTATGTACCACCGTAGCTTCACGTCCGCAGGCCCACTGTGCGATGAGGAGCTTCCAAGGACTTTACGAACTCGCCCGATGCTTTCCGCCCGATCTGCGGCCTGCATGCGTGCCAATGGCGCCCCTCAGACAGGATTCTTCACGGTCCCATACACATTCAAAAGCCATGCGCGGCTCGTGATATGTTGTCTGGACGTTGCAAATTGTAAAGCAAAGTGTCTGTTCTTGATGCATGTGTACACCTTTGCTTCTTCGCGTTTACTTAAATCTTTTGACTAACGGCAAGAATGATCTAGTTGATGCTTCCAAGAGTGGGCGATGCTCACCTTTGCCCACCTTCTGATTGCGGCAGTGCGAGTTGCCGCTTGCAAGCTCCATCAGTTGCAAGATTAGCTGTAGCTTCCGTTGCTTCCTGCCATCAAGGAAGAGCTTGCTTATTTCAACGGACATGTTGCGCATTCCCACGTCTTCACGTATACCCGAAGTCCATACCGCAGCTACACTCCTCATCCTTGTGCCGGGGATGATTGTGACAAGTGTTAGGTTGCGCGTC